TATATAAACTCCTTCAAACTCTGTTCTTTAGTGTGATCTGAGTTCAAACTCACATGCATTGTTTACAGCACTGACTAGCAAAGAAAATTTCACACAGCACATTACCGAGGGACTGAACTGTAGGTTGCGGGAGCAGACAGAGGTAGGTAACAACTAAGCCCACAATGACAAATCTAGCTTATAATTAGAGACTTCAAGGGACGTTTAAGAGTGACAAATCCACTCTGTACCAAAAGCATCTACAATTGCTTTTTAGGACATTTCTTTAGCCACCGTCGTGGCTAAAGAAATGTCCTAAAAAGCACCACGTTTGTGCTGCGGGGCGTCCAGCTCGTCCATTTCTAAGCTGCAAACTTCCACAGGGCCTCGCGCTCGAACTCCTCCATCTCCTCCTCCAGAGAGTCACTGTCCCGCCGGCCGCCGCCCTCCAACACGTCCACCATGTCTTCCAGAATGTCCGCCACGTCCTCGGCGAAGTCGCCGAAGCGAGCCCTGTCGTGGATGAAGATGCCGTCCTCGAAGAAATCCGCCGTCAGCTTCCTGATCTTGTCCTTGCCGTCGCTGGGGGAGCCCTCCAGTTTACTCAGGTAGCCCTCCAGCAGCTCCTCGAACTCGGGCAGCTCCACCGGGTACAGTCCCTCCTTGGCGGCGCAGTCCTCCACGGAGGCGCAGCCCAGTTGCGGGCGCACGTTGCGGTGGAGCTTCTGGTCCTGGTCTCTCCAGAAGTCGTTGTGCTGCTGCTGATGATGCTGGCGTTGCTGCTGATGATGATGAGAGTTTTTACCGGGCTGGCTGTGCCACGGTTTCTCCTTCCTCCTCTCCTCCCGGTCTATCCTGCGCTCGCTCTTCTTTCTCTCCCACTCATCCTGGTGTTTCCTCCAGGCCTCTTTGTGAGAGTTTTCCTTCTGAGGCTTCCTCTGGTTCTCCCTCTTCTCCTCTTTGTGCTTCCACTCCCTCTTCTCCTCTTTCTTCCACGGCTCTCGTTCTTTACGTTTGCCCTTGTCTCCTCTCTGTTTCGACCCCTGCGGCTTCGCCTTCTCCCACTGGGCGACTTGTTCAGAGAGCTTCCTCTGGATCCCCTCCAAGCTTTCCCGGACTTGCTTTCCATCGCCTCTGCCCGCTTTCATCTCGTCCAGCCGTCTCCTGCTCTCGTCCAGAAGAACCTTCTGCCGGTGAAGTTCTTTCTTCAGGTTGCCCTCCTTCTTTCTCTCTGGTCCAGCTGGTTTACGAGAACTCTGAGGTTCTCCGGCTCCCGGCTGAGAGGATGAACCGGAAGGACGTATTTCTGCATCAGCTGTGGAAGTAAAATAAAAGAGGATCGGTGCCTTTCTGTTCACACAAGCAACCGCTTAATGCTCATCAACGTAAACAAAACGGTCAAAAATTACCACCAATATTTTTGTTTTATTTAGCATTTTATAAGAAAAAAAAAGAACAGATTTATTTTTAAAAGTCAGTTTTTCACAATATGATTCATACATTTATAAATGTTATAGTTTATAAACTAAATATTTAAC